CCCCAAAACCCCAAAACCCCAAAACCCCATCTCTCTTAATTGAAACCTAATGAGATGTAAGGAAAATTAAAGAAAATATTATTTGCTTATAATTGGAATCAAACGAATTTATACTTCTTGAGTTCAATTTTGTTTTCTTCATTTTCTTAATGTAGTCTCTGTACCTCTCTACTAACTTTTTTCTTATCTGTAAAGAAACAACTGACAGTAGCTTTACAGAAGCTGAGAAGATTTTGACCTCCAAACATAAATAACTTATCAGATTCTACAACTACCAAATTATGATTCCATCTACTAACTGGGATATCCCCAAGCATGGAAATAACACACCAGGTTTTTCTTTCTAGGTCTAATAAAGCCATATCATTCAATGCAACATTTCTTGTCTGATCATATGCTTCCTTGTTATTTCTCCCTCCGTGTATTAAAAGATATTTCCCTTAGAAAAATACTGTCTTATGTTAATATCTTGGAAGTGGGGGCCTGCCTTATGTTTCTACTTTTTAAACATCATAGAATAATTTCTTTTCAAAATTTTCTCTGAATTCAAAGGTATTAGGTTAAAGATTATCCAAATTTTTATGATAAGAAGGTTTGATATGCCAAACTTCATTGCTTACTTCTCCGAGATGATCCATTCCACCAAATAAATACAATCCTGAAATTCCATTTTTATCATTTTTAAGGCACTCTACCCACATGATTCTGGAGTAAATCTAGCTTGAGGATGTCGCAACTGTAGTATTATTAAAGTTAGACTTTGTCTAATAGTAAGATTTCATTTCAAATTCAGAGTCCATTTCAGAAACTTGCTAAGGTATTGATTTTTGAGGTTTATCATAAATAACTGCTGTAAGACTGTGCATAAATTTAGGGCCTAGCGTAATGCCTGGATTTTTCTTATTTTAAACTGCACTCACCCAAGTTAGCGCTTCAAGATCGTAAATTAACATTTGATCTATCACTGTCTTTTCTTTAGTCATACCACCAAAGATAACAAATTAACTGCCATAAACATCTCCATCATGCATCATTGATCTCTGAGGGGTATGTTCCACTGACGGCAATTATATCCATTAAGATTATTTAGATATTGTATCCTCAGTTCTAGGGCTTAGCATCCAAATGTCATTAAATGTCTCCCTTTATTTGATCCTGCTCAGGTAGTTTGAAGCACCTCCATATAATACTATATTATTCTTATACTTTCCATAGCTAAAGTTGAATCTTTTGTCTGGTTTTTACCCTGTCAGAGAGTTAGTTAAGTTTTCCCACTTTAAAGTTCTTGTATCCATTACTCTTACATCATCGAAGATAGAATTTTAAAATCCAAAGAGAAGATATATTTTATCATCAATAGCTACTGCACCTGCACCTTCTCTTGACGAAGGGAATTAACCTTCCCCCGTATAACTCATCCATATTCCCTCCAAAGCTCTCCCTGCTGACTGTTCATCCTTAATGTAAGCATATTCATCTATCAAATCTTTAGCTTGTTACTTCGATTCATCTTATTATGGAATTTTGATTTTCATCTTTCTACCTCCAATAAATTTCTTTGCTTCTTCTTTCTTTCTGTTTTCAAGATTCTCGTCTAAATACTAAATATCAAGCTAATTTATTGCCATATCTACTGAACCTGAGAATTTTTGCTTAAGCCTATAGTGGAGCTCAATATCTTTATCTTTTATTTCTTCCTTTTTAGTGGTTTATGGAGATTTAATTTGTGGATAAATTTCATTCAGATTCTCAGGAAGACCCATTATAGTTTATTGACCTGGCATATATTTCTGATTTTCATTGTTAGGTTTATCATAATCTTGGATAAAGCCCTAGGAGGTAAGATTAGCAAATCCGCCCTAGCCATCACTTTATCTTGGATTTGAACCATCTCTTCCCTTAGAAGTTTCTTTTTCGACTCTTTAAAAGTAGATTTTATCATTTATTGTGTCAATGTTAAAGGAGTATATGTTGTTATATGGATTCAGGATTTGCTCTCTAGCAAGATTAATCTCTGTTTTATTTTAGTCTTGATGATTTATAATGCTGCTAGTCTCGTCATACTATTCGTCAATAATATCTGCTAAATCTTAAGTTTAGTTCTCATCCACCTATTGTGTAAGTTTAGTCATTTAAAGATCTCTGACTGAACTTGAGTTTAGCTTATTCATTAATATCTATTTAAGTTCCTGAGAATGTGAATTATAAAGATCTTTTAATCTAGGAGATAACTTTGGTATTTAGACATTACTCTTTTATTGAACTAGCGAGGGTTTATGAGACAAGAAAGTTTAGCGTCTTCTTGAGGAAAAAAAGCCATTGGATGTATTGTAGTTCTTGGTTATGTTAGTATCATTAAACTGACTATCTTACATGAGTTGGATTCCTTACTATGAAATTCTAATAGTGTCTTTCAATTGCTTAAGCTCAAGTGGAGTCATTAGAAATTTACTCTACTTAATCATATTTTGGAGTTTTTCTTTTTCTTTTACATTCGTAACTGGTCTTAGACTGTCTGTATTAGTTGAGAGTACTTAATCATCTATTGGTGATATATCATTCTTGTCATCATCTAGCTCAATTGTATATGCTAAAGTTTTCTGAATTGAATTCTATTTTAATGTTGCAGCTAAGAAATCATAATTTCTTTTATTATAAACTTTTGGTTTAGCTTGATATCCTTGTATTTTTGAGTAGAATCCGGTGTCCTCCTTATCACTAGGCTCTTTAATGAGTGATCTTAATCTTCGTTATTCAAATTTTGTAACTAGCTGAGTTAATCTGTTTTAGTCATCTTATAAAAGCCCCTCATTACTTTTTATATTAATCTCCAAAGGAGCAAAAGATCTACCTCGAGGCTCAATATACTTCATTCTTTGAAGGAATGGGGATTCATTTCCTCTGAAGGAAGTTTAACCAACTACGAGACATGAATTAATCTAAGGAAGCATTTTATCTTTTATATTTTATTTCACTCAATTCAACCAAAGTGTTGATGAAGGGGTTTTGGGGTTTTGGGGTTTTGGGG